TTCTCAACTCTTAAGAGAATGGGCGAAACCGAGTACCCAAATTCTCTTATCTATCCAACAGAGGAGCTCTACATATGTTCAAAGACCCTTCGAAGATAATGGAAGACAATAGTTGTCAAATCCTCACTAACGGTGATCAGTGCTACTGAGAGTAGATTGTCCACTTAATTTCCCAATGAAATACCAATCGAAAGCGGAAGTGATGCGAACCTACTTGGATGCGACAACTAAGTGAAAGAAGAGTTAATGAGCAAATTTTGTGGAGGAAGGACCCAAAGCTTCAGAAGTTTGCGAGACGATGCTCGTTAAAGCTCCAACAAGCATCCACACAGTTCAAGCAGCATGAGGAATTTGAGAGACTGACACAGTAAGGATGGTCTTTTCCTTCATCTGGGGGATCCGCAGGAATCAACAATGAACAACACAACTCAGCCAACCCCACACCAGAGTTAGAGTCATTGGTGAGTTGAAGCAGCATGGCGGATCAAAGGTTCGACTACTCAAAAATAGCAGTGGAGAGCAGCTAGGAGCCAAGAGGCGCATTGTAGCTGGAGCAGAAGATTGAAGACTCAACAAAAGCGAGGAGTTGCAGTGTCGACAAAGTGTTCAACGAGGACGTCGAAGGAATAAGTGGGGGAGAATGTCACGGACAAACTTCTAAACAAGATGTTTGATGTAATGCTTATGTATATCCGTGTCTTTTGGCATGTTCATGCCTTGTACAACATGTAGAGGGGCGGCCGAAGGCTTAATAGTCCCATTTTAGTTGGGTTGGTGGCCTCTTTAGGCTCGTAAATAAAGGTTGTGTCATGTGGACACGTGCGAGAGATTTTCGGTCTGTAATGGACCATTTTACCCTTTGTTGTGCAATTGTTCAGAGCTTGTAAAGTCTGTTTGTAATTTGCATTGTCTATGAAGTGTTTTTCGGAGATGTTTGCTTGTGGATCCCGATTGAGGCGTTCTCTCTAACCCGTTCTCTCTTTTGTTGGTCCTAAGGGACAATGGGAGGCTTCGGAGAGGCTGACCTTTGCGGACGGACACGCAAGAGTGCCGCACGACTTAGGCAAAACCAGCTAAGTCCGTGACCGTCAAAACCACGAGGTGCATGCCACGTCAAGTTCGGTACCAATACACTGTGCAACTTGACCACCCCGAGAGCTTGGGGCGGTGCCGTCTACTCTTAGGGCAGTGTCGTCTGACGCCGCTCTAGCACCCCCAAAGACGACATCTCGTCAGAGAAGTCATCCTGCTCCTATGAAAGTCAACGGCCACGCCGAACCGAGGCGCAACCAACCCTCACACGTAGGTATAAATACCCCCGTCCGATGCCCGGCCGGGGGGAGGAAAAAAGGGGAAAGAAAAAGAAGAGGGCAAACTGAACTAACTTGCTCATCGGAGGGGCCAAAGTCGGGAAGCACCCAACGAAGGTCGTTTTACAGGGAGGTGGTCACCCCCGAGTGGCGAGTGTCTTCACCCCGAAGTCATCATCCGGTGCACATAAGAGGGTGGTCCATCGGTTCGGATCCCAATCAACGCCAACCTGCACCTCCCACCCAAGGGCGTGCCCACACCGCGAAGAGAGGTTGCTAACCACCCCGAGGACGAGAGGACACATCCGCCACAAACGACACTCAAGTCGGCAAGCCTCGGAGCGCCAACCCCTAGCCACTCGTGAGGACTCAACCGACCCTGCCGGTCCAACCCTCGCCCGAGATGCTCAAGAGGCACAGCCACCTTATCATCCTACTCATTCCACTAGAAGTTTCCGATGTCGACACGCGGACCAAACCGTGCTGACTCACCAGCCACGGTACTTTTGTTCACCAACACATGACATACAAGGCCACCTACTATCTCCATACCTTTAAAGAGTTTTTAAATAATATAAAAATTAGACTAATCAAGAAATTAATCCAAAAAAATTTGAGTTTTTTTCCTAGCGACACTCTCGTACTATTAGACAAACTATTTGTGCATCCTTTAATATTTCTTAGGTGTCATTTTTGTTGTTCAATTACCTCGATGCTATGATTTCTCCATGTCATCTCCCCTTTTCTACTTTTTAAATTTAACATTCAAGGAATCCAAATTAAAATGGTAACTAAGCTTATCTAAATTATCCCAAGCTGATTGTCTTATTTTGAAAAAATTGGTATCCATACCTTTTGTGGTTGTGGATGCTCAAGAAAGATCTAAGGTTACGTTTAAGTATACATTTATATTTTTTAATATATATTTGGAGAAAGAGATTTGAGTAAACGTGCAAATGTTTTAAGTGTTTGACATAAAAACTATATTTTAAATATATATAGTCTAAATATAACATAAAATAATCATATAATATAAAATATTTTTTAAAATGAATAAATAAAAATTTAGACTTGTAAGAAAAGTATAATATAAAAATTGAGAGAAGGGATAAGGAAATAAGAAAATGAAGGTTACAGATTCTATTATATAGTAGTAATCTTGTATTTTTCTATAAGGTACTTTTGAAATTTGAAAAATTATTTTATCATATCCCTAAAATAATATCCAAGAGATGTCAATATATCGTAAAATAAACTTAGGATTCAAAACATAAAATTTGAGGATATAAAAAGTATTTAATTTTCATTCACACACTATAAATCCTATAGAATTCATAATCCTTCAACATAACACTACAAAACCCAAAACTAACTCAATACTATTAACAACCACTTATAAACTCAAGATCAATAAAATACTATAATTATAAAACCATCCATTTACCATAGTAGATGTTGATAAAATTAGAAATATTAAAAAAGTAATCATTAACTCGTATGACTATTATAGTACTAGCTATAACAAAAAGCATGGTACCTATGAAACTTCTATATCATTAGATCAATTTAGTGAGGATAGTAAAATTTTTAAGAGAGTATTCTATTACTACAAAGATAAAAAAATAAAAAAATCCAAGGGGATCCTCAGGCTAGAACTTCGAGCCTAACATGTATCTAATAACTTTTTTTAAGTTTAGTGATACACTGTCTGTATGAACTTTTTTATTCTTAAATGATAAGCGTCATACATAATAACATTTTTAATTTTAACAAAGAACGTATATTAAATACTAGCGACTCTAGTATCAATGATAGTTGTCAGAATAAGCTTTTAGCATGAGAGGATAGATTCCAGATAAAATTAGATTGAGTATTACTTTTGAATTAGTTGAAGCTCAAGCATTCAATTAAACAAAGATGACAAAACAGAACTAAGAGATAATCCATGAAGACAACGACCTCCTATTCCACATATCAATCGAAGGGGCTATCACAATGTCTGACATCGATAGCAATTAAATATTTATAGTTTTATCTAATTTTATATCTAAATTTTTTTGTCAAGTCATTACACATTTACACTTATTATGGATGTATATTAAATTTTAAGTTCCATTTTCGATTCCAAATTGGCCCTTATTAGTTTGATTTTGGTTTCAGATTTTATCAAATCAAAATCCATAATTTCCAAACTGTGATTAGGATGAATCCTTGGAGATCGGTGGAGTGAGTTTTTTTAGCTAACCAACCGATGAAGAAGGGGAACACATAGTGGTTGGATGCAAGGTTGCAAACGAGGGGGGAAGCTTATACAATTAAGTATTTGCTATTATGGAAGACATTCAGGTGGCTATTGCAGAGGTTGTTTCTCGTACAGAGGTTAAAATTGATGCCAAACAGATCGTTAGCATCCTTAGTAAGGAGGAAAAATCACTTTGAAAATACACCAATTTTGTTGGAAACCTTTTTGAATGTTTAAACAAAATTTAAGTGTGTAAAATAACGCATGTTTTTAGAGAAATTAATCGCTATGCTAATTGATTTTATGAAGTGAAATTAGGATGACGGGATTTAGAGATCAAATCGGTCTTCAGTTTTGTCCTCCTTTTTGAGCTTTGATCTGCATAGCTAAGCCTGTCTTATGTCTTTAAATTAATAAAAAGCTCTTCTTTTTTTTTTTGAAAAAAAAATCAAAACTATATATATATATATATATATATATATATATATATTAATCATTAAATTTCTAAAAGAATATGGTCCCTCTATGAGTGTAAATTGGACGTTAGATTTGGACACTTCAGTAACTGGTGGGAAGAATAATGCTCTTCTCACTAAAAGAAAAAGCTCTTATTGCTTATTGGAATGCTGGAAATGAAATCATATCTAATAGTGCAGCCTTCTTGATACTCTATTGTTTACTGAGCAATTATTTATGTGATGATTGAGATAGATTTCCATATATCTCAAGGTAAGAGGGGTGATCAGTACCCAATACCAGTGCCATGGAAAAAACCTATTGCACGATGAGTGAAGCCGCATGCTAATGGGGCTTATCATGATCGATCTATCAATCTGTGATACGGTTGTTCTATTTTGAACTGTTGCGGGTTCATCTGGTATTATATATAATAAGCTGACGGTCAACTTTGAGAGCATCAAGCATTCTATCAATAATGACACTTTGGAAATTGAATCTGACGATGCTGATTTCGTGGGAGAGTCAGTCACCTCTATGGTTGTCTCGCTGACACTTAATATTATTTTCTGCTGGCTTAACAAAGTTAATTCTTTTATATGTTTAACTTAAATTAACTATTGCAAATAAGTATCGAAGAATACAGTAGGAGAGAAAATAAAAAGGGAACTCCAATGCCACCAAGGAAAATAGGGAAAAAAACAACGTATAAATTAAATTGATTTGAATGATAAAAATATGTTTTAGATATTTAAACACGGACATGAGTGCGTACAGCATATTGTCATTGTAAAATTGTTCGAATCGTTCTCTTCTCACTGTCGAGCCGCGCCCTCCCATTCCAAACAGAAAGAGCGAGTGGGGTATGTAAACGGACGGGCTTCCACCTATTCCCTCTTAGGGTTTCCGCTTGGGCTCTCGATGCGCGCCCCAACTCCCCATCTCGCAGCGATCACAGCCCCGGTCGCCGTCTCTTAGGGTTTCCTCTCACAGATCCGATCTCTCCGCTGGATCGATGGAGTTCACGGACGCCTACAAGCAAACGGGCCCTTGCTGCTTCTCCCCCAACTCCCGCTACCTCGCTGTTGCTGTCGATTACCGCCTTGTCATCCGCGATGTCGTCTCTCTCAAGGTAAACAAGTCGATTGCGGCATCTCATTGCGGTTTATTTATAAAATGTACAAGTGGAAATTGCGAATTACTGTTCTTTCTTTCATCTCAAAGCAACATATACTTTTTTAGTTGGCTTAAATTCTTCAGACGATGAGATTGAACGCAGACAATAGCATCTCCGTTTATGCGTAATGTTGTGGATAGTTTTATCATGGACCCTCTCTCTTTGTTTTAGCTTACAAGTCTTATTTCTTATGCTATTATCTTCAGATTCCTAAAAGGGATGATAGCAAATTATTAGCTAATGTTGGTAAACTTATTTATGATGAATGGAGCTGACTTTAAGACTACTGCAGAAAGCCATTTCCTTTCTCTTTAGTGAGCTTAACATGCTGCTGAGCCAATTATTGGAATTAGGACAAAGCATGACTCCATGCATCCAATCAACCAACTAAAGAACGATGAGAAAAGAAAAACTCATCTTTCAGCTGTTATTGGGAAAACGTATATCCTTTTTTTATTTTTTTTCTTTGTGCTCTTTCCCTTGTCATATTTCAATTGATATACTCTTCTTACATCTTGATGCAGGTTATACAACTCTATTCATGTGTTGACAAAATAAGTTACATTGAATGGGCCCTGGACTCAGAATACATACTCTGCGGTCTCCACAAAAGACCAGTGGTACAAGCATGGTCGTTAACACAACCAGAATGGACCTGCAAAATAGATGAAGGCCCTGCTGGAATCGCATATGCACGATGGAGCCCTGACAGCCGTCACATACTGACCACATCAGAGTTTCAAGTGAGGTTGACTGTTTGGTCACTGCTTAACACTGCCTGTGTTCATGTGCAGTGGCCAAAACATGCTTCAAAAGGTGTTTCTTTTACTCAAGATGGAAAGTTTGCTGCTGTATGTACGAGGCGTGATTGCAAAGATTATATTAATTTGCTTTCCTGTCATACATGGGAAATTATGGGCACATTTGCTGTTGACACAATAGATTTAGCAGGCATTGAATGGTCCCCAGATGACATTTCCATCGTGATCTGGGACTCTCTTCTTGAATATAAGGTAGTCAATTTTGTGATTTTTTTAGGAGCTTTGGTAGTCTTATTATATATAACTTCCATGTTTTCTGTTCTTTATTCGTTTCTTCAGACCAAGAATTTTAGTAGTTTTATTTTGAGAAGTTGGTTTTGAGAACAACTACATAATGATAGTTTCCTTGAAGGGCAATTTATTGATAAGATGCGCTTTAGAATTCTTATGGCCCTACTGTAGATAAGTGTTAAGTAAATCTTGTTGGACTACATGTAGTCTCATCTGTAGTCTTAATAATATGCTATAGTGTCAAGAAAAGGCAAATTTCTCATAAATATTTTGTATTCCTATATCTGGAGAATTGATTGCTTTCTTGTTTTTCTATCTCCTGCATGTAAAGCTTCTATTTCTATATTTTGTAATTTGCAAGCCCATCTAACATACGCATTTGCTGATAATGCTGTGCATGATACAGGTTCTGATTTATTCTCCAGATGGGAGATGCCTGTTTAAGTATCAGGCATATGAGAGTGGTTTAGGGGTCAAAACTGTTGCCTGGTCTCCGTGTGGCCAGTTTTTAGCTGTCGGTAGTTTTGATCAGATATTAAGGGCTCTCAACCACTTGACCTGGAAAACTTTTGCTGAATTCACACATGTAACAACCATTCGCAGTCCTTGTAATGCAGTTGTTTTCAAGGTAAAATTCTACTTCTCTTGTGTTGTTGTTTGTCAGACTAACAAATAGTTTATATCTGAAACATGTATGTATATTTATGTAGGAAGTTGATGAACCATTGCAACTTGATATGTCTGAATTATATCTGAGTGACAACTTTCTTCATAATATTCAAGGTAACTGCCCTGGTAAGAATTATGATGTATGAACTGTTTTGATTATAGTTTCTGGTTATCGCATAAGAACTATGACCAAAATACTTAAGCATGATGATTTGCAGAAGTTAGATCACTGAAGAATTCTTTGCTTTTTAATCATGTAAAATCATGCAAACTGGATGCGTCCCTAACAAAACGAATGTTAGATGATTATATTCATGATCCCTGCTCTTATTCTTGAAGTTCAGTTTTGGTTATATTTTACATGATTTTGCATCTAAGAATCAAGAAAAAATAATTCATTATATTCTTTTCATATATTTTGAGTAGATTTTGCATTGGGAGTTACTTCTCAGCTCTCACATTACATATTGTCTATGTTATTGACTTGTAGTGCAATAATAATAACAACAACCAAAAGCCATAATGTCCAAACAATCTTTGTAACAATTTTTTTTTTGAATTTTAGAAACACATAAAAATTCTTCTTTCATTGATGGAAAAAATTTGTTTGTAAAGATGTGTTGTATCTCTTTCGTTGGCATGATGCTAGAAGTTTGGAGACTCTGCTTAATGATCTTAGAACTTTATTAATTTTATATGTACCTGCATCTGAATTTTAAGCTAAATGGTGTTTGTGTACTGCACATTATTAGTTGTAATCAAAGTTAATCATAGATTTTCTTGGGCCTGAGAATAAACACTTGGTATTTTTGTTTAGTATCTTCATAGTGGGAGAAGGTTATGTATATTTCTAATAGGACCTTAGCAAGGTTGGGTCCTACTCAATCAAGAAGCAGCTAATAAAAAACATGTGAGATTGTAATAAACCTTACCTAGCCGCCTCTATTCGATAAAGAAGAGTGGCTAGGGTTTATATTTGGGCCTTTAGACTTTCTAGCCGTTGCGCCTCCCATTTTACTGAGCCAGTCGACTAGGGTTGAGGGCAAAAGGGGTAACTCCCTATATAAGCATGTAGCCTTCATCTCTTTGGGAACAAGATCTATCTACAATTGCAGCCATATGGCCGACTTCTAGGAGGGTGGAACCTCTATAGCGTTTTAAGATTTGATCTCCCTCAAAGATCAATCTACATAGAATTCCTCTGGGGTTCTATCATCTGGTATCAGAGCAGCGATCTTGCTGCTTTTGCTGCCACCCTTGTCGCCCACCACTAGCCAAGCAATTCCCACAATTGCTCTTGACGTCGCCATCTCCATCGTCATGTTCTGCGTAGATCAAATCAATCTATTGTCGTCACCTCTAATTGCATCAAGAGATCTGGTATTCTCCTATCACCAATACCTTTTGCTACTATAATTTTCCATTCAAAATACCAAGAAGTTTTTTTATCTATCCCGTGCTACAAATTCCTTTCATCGTAAAAGTTATCATCTTTACGGATGAAGGATTGCTATAGAAAATTTCAGCCTTATATTGTTGCCTTTAATCGATTTACTTGCTATCCTTTTTGAACGAAATTTTTTATACGCTTTATAGATTGTCTTGCTTCCATCTGCGATTGATCTATTGAGGAATTCATCTCTAAAACGTTCTTGTGTTGCTGCAAATTTTCATCGCAAACCGTTGGAATTTTTCGATGAGAATTCTGCTATCACAACTTGCACCGATTTCCTTGTTGTTATACTGCTGAAATCTTTTTGATCAAATTTGTCATCATTGCTGTTATTTAAACCGAGATTTTACTGTCAAATTCCCTCCTTAAATCTCTCGATTATTGCTGGAAATTTTATCGTGAAATCGCAGTTTCTTCGACGACAATTTTGCTCTTACATACACTAATCCACCAACCCTTTTGGCCACCACTTCTCTTAACCGATATATACCTTTAACCTGACAACAAAAGAGAGATCTTAACATTACAGATTTGGAGGCATATACTATGGCATCTGAGGAGGCAATCAATGCTAAATTCGAAGCCTTCGAAACGCGAATGAAGGATAAGATTCAGACTCTCTTTACCGAACTCAGTTTGGGCTGACCACCGAGCCCGAAGAAATCACATCAAGGCGAGAGCTCTGACCGAAGAGATGACTTCCAGGAGAGGGGAGGCTCTGTGACCGATCCCTACTGTCCACGCATGAGGGTGGACTTCCCTAGATGGGAAGAAAGAGACCCGATTGGTTGGATCTTATGCGCGGAGCGATATTTTCGGTACCACAAAACTGCGGACACATCTATGGTGGAAGTTGCGATACATCTTGAAGGGGATGCCATTCAGTGGTTTGACTGGTTTGAACACACTCATAGAGTCCTCTCATGGCGATAATTCAAAGAAGGACTACCGATCCGCTTCGGACCAACTGATTATAAGAACATTGACGGACAACTAGTAAAGATCCAATAAACCGCCACCATTCAGGAGTACCAAACTAGGTTTGAAAGGTTATCTAATCAAACTCGTGATTGGTCTGAAAAACAGCTATTGAGGACCTTTATTGAGGGCTTGAAGTCGGAGATCAGGGGAGAAGTTAAAGCGCGACAACTGTACATGCTTATGGCAGCCATCTCTTTCGCAGGACTTCAAGAGGAGCGATTGAACCATGAAGCCCGTAGGACGAGGGTCGCTCCTCGACCAGCAATACTAAAGCCCTCAGCCCCCCCTACTGTCAGCCAAGCCCCTGGACCAAAAAAGTTGATAAGAGAAGAGCTTCGGGAGCGATCTGCGAAGGGGTTATGTTGGCATTGCGACGAGCCGTGGAGCCATGAGCATCGCTGTAAAAAAGGGAGACTTCTTGTGATTGAACCAGTAGAAGAAGAGGTTATTGAACATCCAGAAGAGAGCCTTAAACATGAAGAAGATGCGGAAGAAGAGCCACAATTGACTGACTTTATAGTACACGCGCTAGCCGGCTACTCAAACCCGCAAACGATGAAAGTTGGAGGCCTTCTTAAACAACAACTAATCACTATTCTCATCGACACAGGCAGCATTAATAACTTCCTAAACAGTAAGGTTGCTGCTCCGATGACGCTCCACATCGAAGGTTGCAGCAAGTTCGACGTAAAGGTCGTTGACGGCAGAATCCTAAAGTTTGACCAAAGATGCCCGCAGGTGAAACTATTACTGCAAGACCAAGAAATTGTCGCCGACTTCTTCCTCCTACCAATTGATGATTATGAGGCCATGCTTGGCATAGAATGGTTGACGATGCTAGATGACGTCTCTTGGAATTTTTCCAAATTAATTATGAAATTCTATTGCAAAGGTAAACATATCATTCTACGCGGGAAGCGCGGAAGCAACGTAATCATTATTTCGACCCAATGAATGGAGAAAGTTTTACACAAGGTAAATGGTGGCTTTTTGATGCATCTCTAGCAGCAACCAGAGGGGAAGAAAATAGAAATTGAAGATCAAAATCTCGCCCAATTGCTTGCTGAATTTGTCGACATTTTTGCTAAACCGCACGGTCTTCCTCCTACTCGGCAACATGACCATCGGATTCCAATTCTTCTGGGCAAACCACCAGCATACCGTTATCCTCACCTCCAGAAGGATGAAATTGAAAAGATTGTAAATGAGATGCTTGAAACAGGGATGATTCGGCCAAGTTGCAGCCTCTATTCCTCACCGGTGTTACTTGTACCCAAGAAGGATGGAACTTAACGGATGTGCATCGACTACCGAGCTTTAAATGACATCACCGTCAAGGACAAGTACCCAATACCAGTGGTGGATGAACTTCTTGATGAGTTAAAAGGAGTTCGAGTCTTTATGAAGTTGGACCTCCGATCTGGTTACCACCAAATTCGGGTATATATGAAGACAACATTCCAAAAACTGTATTCCGCACATATAACGACCATTATGAATTCTTGGTAATGCCTTTTGGACTCACTAATGCTCCTTCAACCTTCCAAAGTCTCATGAACGATATTTTTCGGAGCTTTCTTCACAAATCTGTACCGGTATTTTTTGATGATATTCTTATTTACAACCCTTCTCTTGAGACTCACTTTCAGTATTTACGGATTGTTTTGACAATCCTTCGGGAGAATACTCTTTTTGTTAAGCAACCAACGTGCAGTTTTCTCCAGCAAAAAGTAGAGTACCTTGGGCACATAATATCAGAAGGAGTGACGGTAGACCTAACAAAAATTGAAGCAATGCAGGGTTGGTCGAAACTTACAAACGTGAAATTATTGCGTGGGTTCCTTAGGCTAACGGGCTACTACCGAAAATTTGTGAAGGACTATAGGAAGATCAGTGCATCTCTCACTTCTCTACTGAAAAAAGACACATTCCAATGGTCGGATAAAGCCTCCGCTGCCTTCGACAAACTTAAGGCAGCCATGATGACGATGCCGATGCTAGCGCTACCAGATTTCAACCGACCCTTCATCATTGAGGCCGACGTATCTGGAGTCAAAATTGAAGTCGTTTTCATGCAAGATGGTCGACCACTCGTATACAGCAGCAAGGCATTGTCTCCCTCCCATAAAAAAATATCAATATATGATAAGGAGATGCTCGCCATTGTGCACGCAGTAACGAGGTGGAGACCCTACCTAATCGGCCGATGATTTCAAATTAAAATCGACCATAAAAGCCTCAAGTACTTTTTGGAACAGAAGATATCATCCCCTGAGCAGTAAAAATGGATAACCAAACTTCTAGGATTTGATTATGAAATTATTTACAAGAAAAAAAGAAAACGTTGTTGTAGATGCACTCTCATAGCTACCTGAGCAAGCTAAATTTTTAGCCATCTCCCTTCCTACCACTGGCTTCCTTGAGGATATTAAGGAGGAATGAAAGAATGATCCAAAGATCAGCAACATCATAAAAAAATTGGGGGAGGATTCAAGCGCAATAGCCCACTACACTTGGGATTCGAGGGATCTATGCTACAAAGGTCGCATTATGCCTATACCCGACTCCTCTTGTATCAAAATCTTCCTGTACGAAATGTACTCCATACCTTCAGTAGGGCACTCCGGATTTCTAAGAACCTACAAAAGAGTGAAGCAAAATTTTTATTGGAGAGGGATGA